TTCCCTTCAGAGACTGAGAACAGGCACATGGTCTAGCCAGGGCTGTGCAGGTATGGGTGTCACTTGAGGGAAAGTCATAGCAGTTCCCCCAATAGTTGGCTTTCAAACTTCCAAGATGGTATGAAAAGTAGGGAAACGTGAGAACTTTGAGTCCCAACCTACTTCTTACCAGCAGATTCCCTCAAAAACAAACAAACAAACAAACAAAAAACAGGTAATAGGTCCCCTTAGGAATAGTGGACTGAGATTTTAGATTCCTTTCCCCGTAAACCAGCATCCAAGATATTTCCATCCAACAATCACAATGGAAGATGATGTCTGGAGATAGTTGTGTAAGGAACACAGATAGCATGGCTGCCACACCCCAGGGAATACACGTGCCACCATCCCCCATTCCATGCACACACACCCCCCACCGAGCCCCAGACACACAGTCACACACGACTTGAGAAGTCTTAAATCGCTCCCGTAAACCACTGGCCCTGCCCACCTCCTCCGAGGCACCAAGGACACAGAGACCAGGACTACCCTCTGGTCCAGCAGCAACCAGCCACTCAGACAAGCAGAGACCACGCACGGGGGCTCTTCCTGGCCTGGGGAATCGCCCGCGTCCCATCACCAGCCCCGCCTGGGAGCTCATGCTACGCGCAGCTCTCCACACCTCAGCCGCCTCCCCGGGCACCAACAACCTCTTCACGTCTGCCTTTCCGAAAGGCCTTCCAGAAACGTGGGGTGCAGGCCCCTGTACCACGGAGGACAGACCCGGGGACCAGGGACGACGGGGAGGGGAGCCCCCTCGTCCCCGCCGGCCGGAACGCTCTCGCGTTTATTGTTAATTATTTAAAAGGCGGAGACAGGGTACCCAAGACACCACAATAAAATGACATTCCCTGTAAAATGACATGATTAATTCTTGGGTCTCACTGGAGGCTTCCAGCTGTTGCCACGTCCAATTACCCGCCGCACCACCCGCCAGCGCCCCGGCTCGCGCGGCAGCCTACCTCCAGGACAGCGGTGGGCCCGGTGGTCCGTCAGGTCCGCCAGCGACTCGAAGTCCTGCTGGCAGTGGTCGCAGGTGTAGAGGGACTCATCCTCCATGTCGTCATCGTCCTCATTTCTCTCCTCCTGGCTGGTCACGCTGCTCCTGTCCTCCAGCGCCCGGCCGGCCTTCTGCTCACACTCGGGCTCTCCGTCCAGGCCTCCTGCCGGCGGGAAGAACACAGTCCCCGTGAGCGGCCGGTTGGAGGAGAAGTGCCCGGTGCTCACGAAGACCCATTGAATGGCTCGGCCTCCCCGGGCGCGTTCTGGACGCCTCTCGGTGTGTTAATATCGGGGTTTGGGGGGGGGTGGTTTGTAGCATGCGGTGCCCTCATTCCCAACTAGATTCTTTAGTTCTTGGTGCACATCTCCTCTGGGGATTGCCCGTCACGGTCCCCCCCCCCCCACCCCGTGCATGGACGCTGGGGGCTGTGGCCCGTCAAGGAGGTGACAATGCCTTAGCGTTTGTCTCCCCCAAACCCATTCTCCGACGCGTTTCTCCAGAGCCCCCACCCGCCGTTCCTGACACCCCAAAATGTTTCGTTTCCCCCAAAGCCTTGCGATTTAGAGCGGGGACATCGCGTAGCCAAGTTCGCCCCCCTCCGGTCCCCCCCCCACCCACCCACCCACACACACACACACCAAGCCTGGGACTCGCTGACCCTGGTGGGCTCTCGGCACAGATGTCCTGACTCGGGGAACAGGATGCACAGCTGCTGGCAGGGCCGCGGAGCGTCAGCTCGCGAGTGTCAGACGCACCTGGGCCTTCACTCGTGCCCCGGTGCCCGCGTGGACAGGGAGAGCCAGCCTTTGAAACGTCGGACCCATTTCTTTCACGTAAAATGCCTACTCTCCACTTAGCACTGTGCAAGCAAGTACCAAATCTGCACAGGAAAGTGCGTTAAGCCCGGGCCGGTGTTGCTCAGTGGTTAGAGCGTCCCCCCCTGTGCACCAAAGTGTTGCCAGTTCGATTCCCGGTCAAGGGAGGCAACTAATTGATATGTCTCTCTCACATCGATGTTTCTCTCGTTCTCCCTCCCTCCCACTCTCTGTAAAAAAAAAGACCAACGGGGAAAAAATAGCCTCGGGTGAGGATTAACAACAACAACCATACAGTGAGCTCACGATCGGGGATAATGATGCCTTACTCTGGCGCCGCGTTCTGCACGTTTCCAAAGGCATTGCATGCCCGCAGACCCATTCTCAGGCTCACACACCCCGCAGCTAGCAGCCATCACGTGGCCCTGCCCCCTGCCCGCATTTGCTGTTCCCATTTCACAGGTAAGGTGCCTGGCAGCCCGCCAGGGGGTGCGACATCGCCCGCACCCTGCAGACGATACCCTGACATCCTGCCTCCCTCCAGCGCACGTCCCTGCAGGGCTGGGGGAACGGCCCGCGGCCCCCAGCGGAGAGACGAACAGGACACGGGGAGAACATGTACATCCAAGTGCAAAACAAGCAAGCGTGGCACACAGAACAGAGCATCACCCCCATAAACGCCAGCGGGTTAAACCTGCCCGTGAAAACACAGAGACTCCGACTACAAAGCCAGCGTTGCGTGGCGCGGTCTCTCCCCACAGTCTGCTCTGTCCTGGACGTCAGAGCTCCCCGTCCAGACACCAGCGCTGATTTCACTGAAAGGGCGAGATCGCTGCTGTGTGAGAAGACACTGATGCACACACGTCTGCCTGTGCAAAGGAGCGTGCGTGCCTGCGCGAGTCACCCCTAACCCTGCGGCTACAGCGGAAGGCTTCGGCACGCGACCTTGAGACCCCCGAGGGCTGGTCCCCAAAACCAGAAAGAAGAATGAAGATAAGCGTGCACTCAATTCGAGGTGAAAGCCGCAGTCCTATAAACGCACCGACTTAGAAATAGCTAATGGGGTAAGGGCTCTATTGCTCCCGGCCGCACAGCACACGCACACGCACTGACAAGCACACAACACCACGCACCCGCAAACACACGTCAGCTGGTCCGAAAGCCGGCCTCCGCCTTCCGTGGCGGGGCACGTGGCCCAACGCGCCGCGCGGAACAGCAATGTGTCCGTCGGTGGCCCATCAAACAGCTCTCTTCTTACCAATTAAGGGAAGTACAATGTGTAGGTCCTTTTTTTTTTATTTTTTCATCAGAACACACCAACCCCGGGCAATCCAGAAAGAAGCCTCATTTAAAGCCAGGCGGCCTATTTATCTCCGGAAATCAGAGCTGCTGCTCCGGCGACAGCAAGAAAGAGAAAGCGAAGAAGTGAGAACTATCACTGGGAACCTCCCCTACGTAAGTCACCACAAAACCATGGGGACAGCGGCCAGCGAGGCTCTGCGAGGCCTCTTTACCGCCGCTTCCCCCAGTAAAAAATGTCCTGGCCCCGGCCGGTTGGCTCAGTGGATAGAGCGTCAGCCTGCGGACTGAAGGGTCCTGGGTTAGATTCCGGTCAAAGGCACATGCCCAGGTTGTGGGTCTTGATTCCCAGTAGGGGGCGTGCGGGAGGAAGTCAATCAATGATTCTCTCTCATCATTGATGCTTCTCTCTCTTTCTCCCTGAAATCAATAAAAAAAAGTATACTTTAAAAAAAATGCTCTGGAGGGGAGGGGAGGGAGAGAGAGGCGCAATCCCGGCGGCATCTCCTGCACCAACTCTCCAGACACTACGTTCCTCCAGCACACGCGTGTGCTGCTTTACTTAACACCCGAGTTAATAGACGTGTTTAAATGATCCCCTGCTATCCTTTTTCTTTCTTTCTTTTTTTTTTTTTTTTTTTGGCCGTATTTCCTTGGCAGCACTTTCCATAATAGCGCATCTCGCCCACAACTGGAGCCACAGACACCGCCGCGCACCGGCTCCCTGACGTCTGTGCACCCTATGGACTGGGGAGGAGGTAGCTCAGCGTCAGCTCTGGGGCTTTCAGAGGTCACCACCCCACAAAGTCATCCAAGAAGGCAAATCTGTTTGGGTTTTTTTATTTTGGTGGTTTTTTAAAAATATATTTTTATTGATTTCAGAGAGGAAGGGGGAGAGGGAGAGAAACATCAATGATGAGAGAGAATCATGGATCGGCTGCCTCCTGCACTCCCTACTCTGGGGATGGAGCCTGCAACCTGGGCATGTGCCCTGACCGGGAATCGAACCATGACCTCCTGGTTCAGAGGTCGACGTTCAACCACTGAGCCACACTGGCTGGGCAAGGAAGGAGCTCCTTTCTTCCCATTGAGGCCCTGGGGTTGGGAAGAGCTCCCCAGAACAGGGCACCTTACCCTCAGGCCCCACCCACGTTCTCCTGGGGGCGGCCTGGAGCAGCATGAAGGCCCCCGCCCCCCCACCCCAGGGAAGGACCAAGCCACGTGCCTGGATGGGGAGCCGACGGAATTGGCACCTGAAATGCCAGCCTCACACTCCACCCCGACAGCTCACGACCTGGCTGTTTCCCGGTGACGCACACACCCCATGCTTCTACCCGGGGCTCCACCGAGGGCAGCAGCGCCACCGAGCCCTCACTGCCCGCCAGGCCCCTCCCAGCACAGCCAGCCGAGCAGCCCCCGGCGGTGAGCGCCACCACGCCCTCCTTTCACAGGGGAGGAGGCGGCGGCTCTGAGCGGGGACAAAGCTTAAGCAAGGCCACAGGGGGCGGGTCTGTGTCCGACTCAAGCACCTGAGACAGGTTTCCTACTGCAGCGACTCCTGGAAAATGAGCCACGTGTAAGGTCCTCCTCCCGGCCCCCAGGGCCCAGCAAGGGCTCCGTGACCTTGAGCGAGTGACAGGCCCACCTCCTGGAGGGCAGAGCATGACCTCTGCCAGGTGTGTCCCGCCCGCCTACAGGGGGAAGGGGGGGCTTTAAAATCCACAAGCCCCGCCCTGGCCGGCAGCTCAGTGGTTAGAGCGTGGGCCCTTGCACAGAGGGTCACAGGTTTGATTCCCCGTCAGGGGCACGTACCTCGGTTGCAGGTTCAGTCTCTGGTCCTGATC